GGGTGAACAGGACCAAAGACCGTTTGGGGGGGTCATTCCACTGGGAGGGAATGGGCAAGGATGTTTCTACCTATGTCCAGTCTTGTGAGGTGTGCCAAAGAGTGGGAAAACCCCAAGACCAGGTCAAAGCCCCTCTCCAGCCACTCCCCATCATTGAAGTTCCATTTCAGCGAGTAGCTGTGGATATTCTGGGTCCTTTTCCGAAAAAGACACCCAGAGGAAAGCAGTACATACTGACTTTCATGGATTTTGCCACCCGATGGCCGGAAGCAGTAGCTCTAAGCAACACCAGGGCTAAAAGTGTGTGCCAGGCACTAGCAGACATTTTTGCCAGGGTAGGTTGGCCCTCCGACATCCTCACCGATGCAGGGACTAATTTCCTGGCAGGAACTATGGAAAAACCTTTGGGAAGTTCATGGGGTAAATCACTTGGTTGCCACTCCTTACCATCATCAAACAAATGGCATGGTGGAGAAGTTTAATGGAACTTTGGGGGCCATGATACGTAAATTCGTAAATGAGCACTCCAATGATTGGGACCTAGTGTTGCAGCAGTTGCTCTTTGCCTACAGAGCTGTACCACATCCCAGTTTAGGGTTTTCCCCATTTGAACTTGTATATGGCCATGAGGTTAAGGGGCCATTGCAGTTGGTGAAGCAGCAATGGGAGGGATTTACACCTTCTCCAGGAACTAACATTCTGGACTTTGTAACCAACCTACAGAACACCCTCCGAACCTCTTTAGCCCTTGCTAGAGAAAACTTACAGGATGCTCAAAAAGAGCAAAAAGCCTGGTATGATAAACATGCCAGAGAGCGTTCCTTCAAAGTAGGAGACCAGGTCATGGTCTTAAAGGCGCTCCAGGCCCATAAAATGGAAGCATCGTGGGAAGGGCCATTCACGGTCCAGGAGCGCCTGGGAGCTGTTAATTATCTCATAGCATTCCCCACCTCCAACCAAAAGCCTAAGGTGTACCATATTAATTCTCTAAAGCCCTTTTATTCCAGAGAATTAAAGGTTTGTCAGTTTACAGCCCAGGTAGGAGACGACGCTGAGTGGCCTGAAGGTGTTTACTACGAAGGGAAATGTGCTGGTGGTGTGGAAGAGGTGAACCTCTCCATGACCCTTGGGCGTATGCAGCGACAGCAGATCCAGGAGCTGTGCACTAGCTACGCGCCAACGTTCTCAGCCACCCCAGGACTGACTGAACGGGCATACCACTCCATTGACACAGGTAATGCTCACCCAATTAGGGTCCAACCTTACCGGGTGTCTCCTCAAGCTAAAACTGCTATAGAACGGGAGATCCAGGATATGTTACAGATGGGGGTAATCCGCCCCTCTGAAAGTGCATGGGCATCTCCAGTGGTTCTAGTTCCCAAACCAGATGGGGAAATACGTTTTTGCGTGGACTACCGTAAGCTAAATGCTGTAACTCGCCCAGACAACTATCCAATGCCACGCACAGATGAACTATTAGAGAAACTGGGACGGGCCCAGTTCATCTCTACCTTGGACTTAACCAAGGGGTACTGGCAGGTACCGCTAGATGAATCTGCCAAGGAAAGGTCAGCCTTCATCACACATCTCGGGCTGTATGAATTTAATGTACTCCCTTTCGGGCTGCGAAATGCACCCGCCACTTTCCAAAGACTTGTAGATGGTCTCCTAGCGGGATTAGGAGAATATGCAGTCGCCTACCTTGACGACGTGGCCATATTTTCGGATTCCTGGGCAGACCACCTGGAACATCTACAAAAAGTCCTTGAGCGCATAAGGGAGGCAGGACTAACTGTTAAGGCTAAGAAGTGTCAAATAGGCCTAAACAGAGTGACTTACCTTGGACACCAGGTGGGTCAAGGAACTATCAGCCCCCTACAGGCCAAAGTGGATGCTATCCAAAAGTGGCCTGTCCCAAAGTCAAAGAAACAGGTTCAATCCTTCTTAGGCTTGGCCGGTTATTACAGACGATTTGTACCGCACTACAGCCAAATCGCTGCCCCACTGACAGACCTAACCAAAAAGAAACAGCCAAATGCTGTTCAGTGGACCGGAAAGTGTCAGAAGGCCTTTAACAAGCTTAAAGCGACACTCATGTCTGACCCTGTACTAAGGGCCCCAGACTTTGACAAACCGTTCCTAGTAACCACAGATGCGTCCGAGCGTGGTGTGGGAGCAGTTTTAATGCAGAAAGGACCTGATCAAGAATTCCACCTTGTAGTGTTTCTCAGAAAAAAACTGTCTGAGAGGGAAAGCAACTGGTCAGTCACTGAAAAAGAATGTTACGCCATTGTCTACGCTCTGGAAAAGCTACGCCCATATGTTTGGGGACGGCGTTTCCACCTGCAAACCGACTATGTTGCACTAAAGTGGCTTCACACCGTCAAAGAAACTAACAAAAAACTTCTTCGGTGGAGTTTAGCTCTCCAAGATTTTGATTTCGACATCCAACACATCTCAGGAGCTTCTAACAAAGTGGCTGATGCACTCTCCCGTGAAAGTTTCCCAGAATCAACTGGTTAAAATCGTCCTTGAGATGTGGAAAATATTGTTAGTCTTTATGTACTTGGTAGTATATTTAGAGATGCATGTGTCTTATTAACTCTGTTTTCCTAGAGCTCCAGGAAGAAATCCCAGCCAGTGTTTCACCCTAGCTGAGATTTGGGGGGCGTGTCATAAATATAAAGGGAAGGGTAAACCCCTTTGAAATCCCTCCTGGCCAGGGGAAATCTCCTCTCACCTGTAAAGGGTTAAGAAGCTAAAGGTAACCTCGCTGGCACCTGACCAAAATGACCAATGAGGAGACAAGATACTTTCAAAAGCTGGGAGGAGGGAGAGGAACAAAGGGGTCTGTGTCTGTCTGTTGCTGCTTCTTGCCAGGGACAGAACAGGAATGGAGTCTTAGAACTTTTAGTAAGTAATCTAGCTAGGTATGTGTTAGATTATGATTTCTTTAAATGGGTGAGAAAAGCATTGTGCTGAATAGAATAACTATTTCTGTCTGTGTATCTTTTTTGTAACTTAAGGTTTTGCCTAGAGGGGTTCTCTATGTTTTTGAATCTAATTACCCTGTAAGATATCTACCATCCTGATTTTACAGGGGGGATTTCTTTATTTCTATTTACTGCTATTTTTTATTAAAAGTCTTCTTGTAAAAACTGAATGCTTTTTCATTGTTCTCAGATCCAAGGGTTTGGGTCTGTGGTCACCTATGCAAATTGGTGAGGCTTTTTATCCAACATTTCCCAGGAAAGGGGGGGTGCAAGTGTTGGGAGGATTGTTCATTGTTCTTAAGATCCAAGGGTCTGGGTCTGTAGTCACCTAGGCAAATTGGTGAGGCTTTTTACCAAACCTTGTCCAGGAAGTGGGGTGCAAGGTTTTGGGAAGTATTTTGGGGGGAAAGACGCGTCCAAACAGCTCTTCCCCAGTAACCAGTATTAGTTTGGTGGTGATAGCGGCCATTCCAAGGATAACGGGTGTAATATTTTGTACCTTGGGGAAGTTTTGACCTAAGCTGGTAAAGATAAGCTTAGGAGGTTTTTCATGCAGGTCCCCACATCTGTATCCTAGAGTTCAGAGTGGGGGAGGAACCTTGACAGTTCACTTTTTGCACTTTTTCTCAGCATGGACAATGAAAGTAGTCTTTGTTACTTCTGTTTTTGGATGATGTGTAGTCAATTCCACTTTTAGCTAGTAAATGAGGAACTAAATCATACAATGCTTGGATTGCAAACAAAGGAGAGGGATCTTTGTGTCTTTGCTTTCCTTGGTATTAAACTTCTTGGAGGCACTTCTCTTGATTGTAAATTTTTGGAGGTTTTGTCTTAGCCTAAAATTTACATTTCATAAAGTTTGTTTGACCTGACACTTTTTCTTTTAAATCCCCGCAAAAGACACTATTGGCCTTTCATCTTTTTCCCCTGCAATGACCCAGAAATCTGTTTCTAAAGTTTACATTTTGTTTGTTTGTAGACTGCAATCATGCTGTTAGTTTCATGCAGGCATATGGGTCTGCCTGCAGTGAGCCAGCTGGGGCCATACTCTGCTAGTATGTTAAATCACTTGTAAAAGTGATTAGATGTTTTCATTTGAAAATATAATTTGTCAGGTACTTGGATACCATTGTGATCAATACTGTTAAAACTTAGACAGGGTATTCTAATTGGTCACATTTTTACCTGTCATGTTCAGCTAAGCAGTTAACTGTCTTATCTAAATTCTGTCCCTGATCTCATGACACTTCAACTAAATTCACCCATTACTGTAGCCAATTTATTTAGATTTGTATTAGAAGCTAATTTTAACTCTTTAGCACTTTTTTTTTTTTTTTAATCCGCTGTCCTCCCCTCGCCCTTGGGCAAATCTTTCTTTTGAAAGAAACTAGTTATGGCAGGTCTCGATCTAATCTTGTAGCTCATTACTATTGTGCAAGTTCTACATACAAATTATGAGGTCTGGGCATGTTATTGGCAGTGCTGGGTTGTTCACAAGGATGTGCTTTGCCCGAGAACTTTAGGAGTTTCCTCACTTTAGAATGATCTCTCTTTAAAAATAATTAAAGGGGCAAGGTAAAATTTTTCAATTTTTTCATTAACAAAGTGGAACTGACTGATCCTGGCATTGTCTTTAATTCTGATAATTTCATTGTGTGCATATTGTGGATTATCAAATTTTATTTATATAACAAACATTAACTGATTCACAGGAAGTGTAGAAAGTAATGTTACTGTTAACTTGCATGGTTACAGGGATAGATTTGCTGTTACACTATTTGTTCTGGATCTAAAAAATAAGCCAATGGTGGTATTCACTTTTTTATTTCAGTACTCCGAGATACAAGTACTGATCAAAATTATTGGAATACATTAATATTACTCAGTACTACAGCTGAAAAGCCACCTTGCATTTAACATGCTAAAACTCACCTATTCAAATACATGTTAGTTTTCTCCCCTGTATTGGTGGTTCAGAATGAAAAGAAATGTTTTGATTCTTTACAGGCAAGAAGGAGTTGAAGATGGTATTTACATTCCAATAGAAGTTAACCTTCCAACGCAAGAGGGAAAAGTACTGACCTGTCGAAGTTATCAGATGAATGATTGTGTTTGTGATCTCCCATCACCACAGTATAAAAAGGTAGGCATCATCTAAAAAGAGCATGAACTGAAGTGGATATTGTATTACTACTTGCCACTTAAAATAGTCTCTTACAACAGGATTTGCTACATAGCATAGTCCCTTAAAACAGTATTTCAGTTCTTTCCAAATGTATCAAACCAATACATCCCTAGTGTTAGTCTGCTGACTTCAGTGAAACTAACCCAAAGGTAAATCTGGCCTATTGTACATAAAGCATGTGCTCTCGCCCATGAATTGCTTCATCCTCAACTCATTTGCAGCCACCTGGGAGGTGGCGTCAGTTGCTCAAAAGCACTCAGCAGCTTTACAACATAGTTTGGGACAGAAAAGATCACTGTACTCAACTGAAGCCACAAAGGGAATTTCACTGGACAGAACTTAGCGTCCTGACCTGGAATCTGGCAAGGACATAGATATTAGTATCTCCGCTCTTGTAGAAAGTGCCATAGAATCTTTAATGACTACAGGAAGTTAGTCTCTTGGCTTGACCCCTCCAACATCACAGGCCCTGTAACACTGTTCTGGGGCATTGGTCTAGTACTCCTTAGCATATGCACAGCGTGCCTCAAGTGGCACGTGACCAGGATTCATCACTGAATTTGGACTGCTGGTTGGATCATTCGCTTCCCTGGTTTGGGCCGGGAGCGTGACCTGAACACTGATCTGTCCCCCCTGCTTTAGTACTGATTTGGAAGAAAAAGTTCCATGTGCGCAGTCACCAACACCACTCTGCAGCACACTGACGCTTTTTGGAGGTGTGCCTAAGCACTGAGCAGTCCTGACTTGCTTAGCTGGTGAGGTCTGAGGCCCTATCCAGAGATGGTGTGGCTACATGTCTAGAAACATTTAGCTAATCAGAATTACAGATAAAATCAACAAGTTACCATAGTGACTTTCTCCTGAAAATAACTAACTGGGCTTGATTCTTTAACCCCTATGCATATGTCACTCCTTTTGACCCAGGGGTCCATCCATATGGATCAGCTTGCAGGATCAGAATCTGTTTTTTGTTAAAGAACGCTAACCCACGCACCGCTATTGTGCTGGCCAGCCATCGCTCCCCCTTATTTTTCTCCCAGATGGATCTTTTGGGCTATTTGAAGAAATACAACTATGCTAATACAAACATCAAGGTTGATAATTTATATATAGTCTGGGGCTCTCCTTGCCATACTGCATGTATACCAAGATAATGGAAAAACTGATCTTTTATTTGTCAAACAAAATTGCCCCTTACAAGTAAAACTTTACAAGGCAGTCATCTAACTGTACACAGTGTAATATAATATAGTACTACATATGTACAGTTAGTCACGTATTTTTGTGACAAAACTGAAACAGTTACGGGAATTGTAACTTCCTGGCTTGTGTATTTAAATTCTCTGCCGTATGCTTGTTAACCTAGTCATTGTCATCACAATAGTATCTTGCTGCCTGAGCTTTTAAAACATGCATATATATCTGTTTATATTGGTAATTATATCTCACTGGCTCCCCTCTCTCAAAACAATTGTATTGTCCGGGGTTCAAACCAAATTTGACTCTTCGTTGTAGTCACATCAACTCTGACGCTGCCTTCTGTAAGGGAAGTGTTCTCTCGGTCTAATTTCTTAGGTTTTTTTATGGTTCTACCTTTTTCTCCTATATAAAAGGATTATATTTAAGAGGACGAGTAGGGCTGTTCATGTCCTATGGCTGTGTCAGTGACTAAATGTGCTGTGTGTACGTGTGTGGTACCTGGGATAAGGGGTTTTTATTTTTGTAACTTCCACCCCAGTAATTTCCTGTATTTTTGTTTTCACTTCCCGTAAATAGTTTTGGCTTATACAACACACTTTCATTTATCTTATGTGGGGGAAGGAAAACTTCAGTAAAATAAACAGTAGAGAAACTGTCTTCACTTATGCCACATCTAAATGGCTTCTTTGCTACTGTAGTTCTTAGTCACATTCACCACCGTCCATTCAAATTAGAAAGACCCAGCAGCTGTTGGTGCATCATCTCAGGATTTTTTTTAAAAACTCAAACGTTCTAATTATTTCTCACTTAGAAGAACTTATGCTAAGGCTGGTTGAAGACTGAAATCCTATAACTTGAAGGTGGAAATTAATTTACTCCTGGGGGAATTTTGCACCAAAAAATTAAAATTTTTGTGCACAATATTTTAAAATTCTGCATATTTTATTTGTCAAAATAATGCAGTATAATCACTCTGGTTTCAATTATTTTGGTAATTTACAATGGATGGAAAATGGGAGTGGGGAGCATTGGAGGAAATCCCCAAACACCCTTGCCTAATAGTAATGTAGCTAGGTTTCACGCTTTATTTTTAAAAAAGAAAAGGAGTACTTGTGGCACCTTAGAGACTAACCAATTTATTTGAGCATAAGCTTTCGTGAGCTACAGCTATGCTTAAATAAATTGGTTAGTCTCTAAGGTGCCACAAGTACTCCTTTTCTTTTTGCGAATACAGACTAACACGGCTGTTACTCTGAAACCTGGCTTTATTTCTAGTTATTAGTCAACAAATATGTGCAGCCATATGCTCAGTGTTACATCATAGGTAACTAAGGAGCAAGTGAGGACTGGGGAATCAAACTCTCAATTTATATTGGCTACTGACCATTTCCAGAAAAGGAAGTAGAAAACAATTCATGGAACACATTTTGATAAGAAATTTTTTCAGTCCAAAAAGTTAGACCAATTTTAATCACTAAAGTAACTTAAGCATTTATAAGGCCATACTGTCCTTTACACCACTCTGGCTATGTAAAGGAGTCTCTTAAAACTTTTACACCTGTTTTATATTCCTGGGGGAATTCACTAGGCAGACAGGCTGCTACATTCTGCTCTGCTTGAGGGGACAGAGCCTGTCCCACATCTACCTCCTCAGAAACACTCTGAAGCCCTGCCCTTCCACGCATGCTACAATAGTGAGCGAGAGGCACAGAGTCTGTGTGTGTGTCTCTCTCTCTCCCATCACCTTAAATGGTACTATTTTTACACAAGTAAAGATTTGTGTGATCTAACTCTTTCATTGTAAAGTGATAAAAGTTTTTCTTTTAATTGTAGGTCATCTGTATGGGTGCAAAACAGAATGGCTTGCCAACTGCCTATCAGAAGAAATTAGAAGCTATAGAAACGAACAACTATGCAGGACCAGTATCAGTCTTTGAAGAAATTGAAGCTGCTATTAAAGAGAAGGAAACAACAACTCAGTAGAAAAGTATCCCCAAAATATTTCCAGTTCCATTTCCTTGCCTGATTTAATTCTATGGCCTGTGTTATACAGGAGGTCAGATTAGATTATCACAGTGGTCCTTTCTTGTCTTGGAATATACGAATTTTTCATTTTGATTTAGGCATCTGTCTTCTCGTTATACTGATAGCAATAATTTCCTTCTTTGATAAAGAAGGGCAAACTTGACACATTTGTGTAGTTCAGTAAGGTATTGGATTGAATATGCAATTTAAAGTCCTGTTCTTGCAAAGACCTATGTATATGGTTAAATGTATGTATCACATCTAAAGTTAAGCATGTGTAAATCTTTGCAAAGTTAAACTTAACTTTCTGTAGTTCTCATACAGTGCTGGCAAAGTTCATATAGTTCTTTAATGCATCTATAAGCAGAAAGAACTAAAGAGAAAAGCCAGCTTGATAGTCATTTGCACATGCTACTGTGTTCTAGGATTAAGAGTTGCAGGATCAAGCTACAGTTCTCCAAGCAGGTTTAAAAAAACTTTTTTTCCAAATGTACATAAAGTTCATTGGGATGCAAAGCTGGGAATTAAGCTGATACCAATTTGGATTTTTACATATCTAACTTCTGTAGCAGGGGTGCTGAGAGCCATTGAACCAAACTGTAAACCCTGTATATAATGGAAACTTCTTCAAGCTGAGGCATGCGGAAGCACCCCTTGCACCACTAGTTCCAGCACCTATGTTCTGTAGAGCAAGATTTTTTTTTTTTCTTTGTCCAGGAGGTGTATCCATTTGATTTTAAAAGTTAATCATTGGCTACTCTTTACCTTTTAGCTGTGCAATCACCCCCTGTGTACCAATATGTCATGCCACTGGATACTGGTCACTTAAAAGCCAGTTTAACCAAGAAAAGAAAGGAATTTAAAACACAAATATTTTCCAACACATGCCCTTAAGGAAGTTACCAGTGAAGGACAGCATCCTACCTGTAATGGTGTACTATTTTGTGGTATTGCTAGGAGTGGATGAACCAAGTCAGATAAAATAACTCTCCTGAATGGATTTTTTTAAAAATTCTAAAGAGTTGGCTAACTACTTAATTTTTTTCTTTAAATCATCGAATGCCTTGAACTTCCTGACTTCTGCAGGAAGCAGACCTAAGGCTTGATGAAAGCCCATAGGAATCTTTTCATTCACCTCACTGGGTTTGGATCAGGCCCCAATAAAGAAACACTGAAGTCTCTCTGAATTGTAGCTGCAGCTTAGCTGGAATCAGAATATTGTAAGTCTTGCACAAGTTCCTAACCTTGTGATGCTTTCAGATTAAATTGAATGATTACTTCTGGGGAGAGGGGGCAATTGAACAACTTTGGGAAACACAACAACTGAATATTTTTTCTTTTGTATTTAAGATCTGTATGCAAAGAATTTGTCCTTGATATAAAGGGGATATGAGTTATCTTCAAAGTTACTATGTGATTGATTATGACATCTGACAGTATGCACACAGGAACTGATAATTGACCTTGTCTTCCCCTCATAAACTTTCATATTGGACACGTGCCATAGCAGTGCACTTCACATCCGCATGTCATGTGAACATCTCCAAAGTTTATGCATTTCATTTGGGCCCCATCTAATTCCCATGTTCTCTGTGTGTAAAATATAAATATGTATGCACTGAAAGTTGGAGTAAATAAAAAAGATTGCAGTTGCCAGATTACTTCTGTGTCTATACAGTGCACAGAAAATGAAAATTCCTCTTGATTCAAGAATGCTCAGTGTAGCTTGTGTAGGCTAAAGCTGTTTGCATGAATGCGTAAGTGAAAGTTGCCATATTGGGCATTGTTTTTTAATGCAACTGTAAATTAATCTCTGTGCACTCTGTTTTTTAAATAAAGATTCTTCATAACTGTAAGAATCATTTTTGCTTAAGATTGTTTCATTTGAAATGTCCATCTTCAAAATTGTTACTTTAGCACAGGGGTGGGCAAACTTTTTGGCCTGAGAGCCACATCTGGGTATGGAAATTATATGGTGGGCCATGAATTGCTCATAAAATTGGGGCTTGGAGTTCGGGGGGGGGATTCAGGCTCTGGGGTGGAGCTGGGGATGAGAGGTTTGGGGTGCAGGAGGGTGCTCCGGGAAGGGGGTTGGGCATGGGAGGATGTCAGGTGCAGGCTCTGGGCAGCGCTTACCTAGAGCAGCTCCCAGAAGCAGTGGCATGTCCCCCCTCCAGCTCCTACGCAGCGGTGTGATGCTGGCCAGGCGGCTCTGTGTGCTGCCCTGTCCGCAGGTGCCACCCTTGCAGCTCCCATTAGCTGTGGTTCCTGGCCAATGGGAGCTGCAGAACCGGTGCTTGGGGCAGGGGCAGCGTGCAGAACCCCCTGGCTGCCCCTACATGTATGAGCTGGAGGGGGGAAATGCTGGTGCTTCCGAGAGCCACGTGGGGAGAGCAAGCCCCTGACCCTGCTCCCCAGTGGGAGCCTGAGGACTGGATTCAAAGGTCTGACAGGCAGGACACGGTCCAGGGACTGTAGTTTACCCACCCCTGCTTTAGCAGCTCCAATTAAATGATTTTTTTAAAATGTACAACTTAAATTGTTTCCAAACAGTGTACCACCATATAGGATTAGCTTTATTACTAAAGATTAAGGCCAAAATAATTGTCAAGAGGAAGAAAAAGGAAACTTTCAAGGGACAATATAGTTGCAAATCATGTAGAAAAGGAGTAGTTATGCCACTGGCACAAGAGTTCAAAGATTTATATGGAAGCAAGGGCAAAAATGCAGTTATACCTCTACTATATTTGATTCAAGGAACATGCACTGACCTACCAGTGTCCTCATTTATTGATTTAACTTAGCCTAAACTGTGCTATATTATGAAAAATACTTTTTGAAATCTTTATTGTAAAAGTTTTACACTTCAAGCTTGTGTAACTTTTTTGTCTGTTCCCTGTCTTTAAAAGGCATGGGGTTGTTTTGTTTTTTTTTTTGGGAGGGGGGGCGGGAAGAGCAGGACAGCTTGTAGGCTGATAGCTAAAGGTCCTGTTTTTGTGGTATCATCCCAACAGTTGTGATAGCTCTTCAATGTGGCAAATGCAAACCAGTGGCAGGGAAGTTACCACCTTCTGCATTGTCGATAATCGTAGGAACAACAGTATCAGGTGGCCCTGCGCTAAAATATATCCTTCTTCTTGCAAGTCCAAGTGTATAAGCAAAAGTTGAGTAGTACTAATCAGCCCTATCTTCTTGCGGGCTCGTTTTTTTCCAGATCTTGGAAACTTTGGATGCAGTAAAGCTGCTTCAGCCATTATTGTCCTGTGTGCCTCCAGCCCTTCCAAACATCTGTTTCTGGTCACATCTCGTGGATGGCCTGGATACAAATATCTTCGAAACAGCTTTAAAAAGTGAAACAGTGTTTGTATGGAAAAGGACCCTCGTGTCTCTCCCTCCAAAGCGAGCCAGCCCTCGCTGCTCTGCCCAGCTCAGGTACTCTTGCAGAATCCCGGAACCATAGGGTAGAAGGGACCACAAGGCTCCCGTAGGGTGACCCCCTGCCCAGCTGCAGGATGGGTGGTGGCTGGAAGGTGGGGGTAGCTCTTCCGCCCCGAGCTATTCCCGCAGGCTGGATGGCTCACGCCGCCCGCTGAACGTGTTCCGCCGCTGCTGGCCGCGGGGGCGGGGGAGCGCGGCCCGGGCTCCAATTTCAGGGGCCGCCGCGGGAGCGTGTCCCCAGCGCTGCCCGTCTCCCCGAGAAGCCGGGGTAGGTGATCTCCTCGCTCGCAGCCGGGCGGCGGCCAGGGCTGGCCGGACGCTAGGCACCGGCCAAGGGGTGCCCTAGGGCCTGATCGTGCGCGGAGCTGAGCCCCGGCAGCAGCTCGCCCTGGCTGGAGCGCGGTGAGCCCGGGCAGAGGCCGCGCCGCCGCCGCCCTCGGGGGAGGGGGAGACGCCTTGGGGTTGCGACACCGTCTCGCCCTCGGCGGGGCAGCTCGCTGAGTCAGCGTCGGGCTCCCGCGTGGTGCAGCGAAGGGGAAGCGCCCGGCCGAGCCGCTCTCCCGGTTCCCGGCCGCACCGACCGACCGAGCAGCGCCGGGCTCCGGTGCCCGAGTCCGGCCCGCTCGGGGCGGCAGCAGCGCCGGGTCCCGGCCAGGCGGCCTCGCTCCTCCCCTTTCCCTCCGTGTCCCCGCGCGCGCCCTGCCCGCCGCCGCGGTGAGTCCTGCGCGCGCCGCGCTCACCCTGCCGCCCCTGGGGGCGGGGGGCTCGCAGTGCTGGGGGCGGGGCAGATGGGGGGGTCTCAGTGTTGGGGGGGTCTCAGTGCTGGGGGCAGGACAGATGGGGGGTCTCAGTGTTGGGGGGGTCTCAGTGTTGGGGGCAGGACAGATGGGGGGGTCTCAGTGCTGGGGGAGGGGCTGCTTAGGGGGTCACAGTGCTGGGGGGGGCTGTCTGGGGCAGGAGAGCGAGGGGGATCACAGTGCTGGGGGGCATGTCACACGGTTGTGGATGAGGCCTCGGTGAGGTGGATGAGGCCTCGGTGAGGTGAATGAGGCCAATGGCTGCAAGGCTTCTACAGCTCAAGCCTCAGGGTGGCTGGCTGGGTGGTTCTGTGGCTGCCCCCTGCGTTTCCTTTCCAGAGATCTCGTCCCTGTAGTAGGTTTTGAGATGCTGCTGCTTTATGCAAAATAAAGAGTTGAGCATCTGAAAACAAATACAGTTCTTCTAAAACAGTGACGGGGCAGACTTCCTTGGCCAAGTGGGCCAATGGCCATTTGCAGAATTGTCAATGAATGTAATTTGGATTTGGCATAGGTGTCCCTCAAAGTAGGGTTGCCATCCCTCCAGGATTGCTCTGGAGTCTCCAGGAATTAAAATGAATATTTAATTAAAGATTTTGTCGTGATGAAACCTCCAGGAATACATCCAACCAAAATTGGCAACTCTACCTCAAAGATACCTATTAACTGCATAGAGGTGGTTGACTTAAAACACGTGACTCCAGGATTGAAAGCCCTCAGTTTAGGTTGCCGGCTGCCTGACGACTATGTGTGTGTGAGAAGTGGGAGAATTTTCTTTACCCCAGTCCAGTGGCCCACAAGTCTGGCCCGGTGCTGTGTTTCCCACTGTTAAGTATGTGCCTCTTTACTGTCTCTCTTTGCATGGCTTTACCAACATTGAATTGTTTTATTTGGGATGGTGGTGGAAGGAAAGAGAACGATTCAAAGATCCAGAGATGTAGGAGCAAAATATTTCAGGTAGCCCAGGTCTCAGAAATAAGGGGATATAAGAGGGAAAGGAGCAGGAAACCAAGGAGGTATCAGATAATGTGGGATGAATTTCTTGGGAGATGGTCCAGTGAAGCAAGTATGCAAGAGGGGAATAGTGGGACAAATGGGTTAGTGGAGTTGAGAGGAAAGGCAGAGAAATGTACAAGGTTTAATTAATGAAGTAAAGAAAAATTAACTAGCTGTAATTGAATTTTCCTTGACATTCTGGGAGGTGTATTGTGAAATCCTCTCATTCAGTCCAGATGTGTCCTCGTCTGGAGTTTGGTCTGTGAGATACAGCCAAACTCAAATTACTAGGTGACATGGAAACAGTAATGTTTTCTATAGCTACGGTGTACCGGCATTAAGTATTTATGATTCTTATTCTAGTTTAAAAAAAAATTTTTTTTTTAGTCCAGGCTTTGTTTGTTAATCTAAAATTTGCACTTTGTAAATCTGTACTCAGGCTGTAAATCTGTACTCAGGTGTTCCTAAATTGCAAGGGTTGAGTTTCATGTTTCTTCAGTGAGAGACACTCCCATTCCTCAGAAATTTGGCAGAGGACACATCACATTAGGCAGGGCTTGAAAAGTGTGCTGAGCAACTTTTAGGTAGAGAATTAAACATAACAGCTAGAGGCTAATATGGGAACCCCACTAGCAAAGGCAGTAGGAAAACCCAAACCCAGCTGCTCCTCCCCAACGTCACCCCCTGCTGCTGGCAGAGGGAAGGTTCTGCAGGAAAACAGTACACCTACATTACCAATAGCAGATCCTGGGTTAACTCTTTTTCCTGCATACCAGTGGCAAAGCCAGAATGGTCAGGCCTTACACATGATCCCTGTAAAATGGAATATGACCATCAGCAGTCTGACAAAGGAAATGCAAGAGGGCCCTATTGAGCTAGGTGTTGTGTACCCACTTAACAGTGAGATGATCCCTGGCAAGAATTAGTTTTACTCCAATCCTTAAGAGACCAAGCATGGAAAATTTCTAGGGCTGTCAATTAATCACAGTTTACTCACATGATTAATTCAAAACAAATTAACTTGATTAAAAAATTAATTGTGATTAATCGCACTTTAAATTGCACTGTCAATAATAGAATACCAATTTAAATTTTATTTAAATATTTTGGATGTTTTTCTACGTTTTCAAATGTATTGATTTCAGTTACAACACTGAATACAAAGTGTACAGTGCTCACTTTATATTATTTATTATTACAAATATTTGCACTAAAAAGCAAGAAATAGTATTTTTCAGTTCACCTCATACAAGTACCGTGGTGCAATCTCTTTATGGTGAAAGTGCAATTTACAAATGTAGATTTGTTTTTGTTACATAACTGCACTCAAAAAGATTTCATTTGAGAAGAGGATGGTGTTAGGAATAGCAAGATCAAAATAAGCAGAGGCTATATTATCAAGAACAACAAGCCAGTATTGAGAATCACTTGTATAATCGTGTGTAAAAGAGCTTGCCTTAAAAGAAACAAGAGCCATCAATCTATCAGTTGGCACAAATAATATCTTCTCTCCTCTGCGTTCCTCCAGATCTATTGTTCTTCAAACTACCAGGAATAATTACCTAAACTTACTCTGATTTTAAAGTAGAGAGGGGAAAAAAACCCCAAGGTCAGATGCTGCTCTCAGTTACACTGGAGTGAAGCCAAAATAACTCCAGTGAAGCCACAGGAGGCACTTCCTGTCCCAGGCACTGCAACCTCTGGGGTCCCAGCACCACTCAGGTTTGACCCAACCATCATGATGACGGGAGTCCAAGTACGCCAAATTTGAGTGAATGGCTCTGTAAGCCCATGAGCAGGGTCACAACTCCATTCTCACAAATTTGGTACAGTCAGAGGGGAGGGGCCAAACCCAAGCCGCACTGCAACCCCGGAGATTGCAACATTTGGAGCAGAGAGCCAAGTCCAGTCAGCCTCACAGCACAGGAGTTGCAGGAGCCGCCACTGTGGGGTGAATGCCAGGAAGGACCCCGTTGGGCGGGGGGCAGGATCTGACCGAAACCAGCCCAGGGCCTCCACCCTCAGACTTTACTGGGTCACGACAGGCCATAAACATTTATAAATGGGTCCTAAGCCCAAAAAGGTTGAGAACCATAGTTTTAGGGGAGGCTGAAATAAATATAAACTCTCATATCACCAAGGCAAGCCATTTCATTGGGATCCTGACTTTTAGTCATATTAGAACATATCTGTAGGAATTTTGCAGGACTGGATTATAACCGTATTTTATCTAGAAAATCTCTCCTCTCTCTATTGTCAAGGGGATATCCTTAATGTCAGACAATTCTAATACTCTAGTGGAGCAGTGGACATAAATTCTACCCCTTGTTAGCATGTAATGATTATGCTGTGGGTTTTTTGTTTGTTTGTTTTTCTTTATAGCACTGCCAAGCACAAATATAGTTATGTTGGAGGAGGCACTTTCATAAATCTGTGTTCAGGTTCTGGAAAATATTACCAGTATGCTGAAATGTCTCATGCTATATACACTGTGACAGGTTTCAGAGTGGTATCCGTGTTAGTCTGTATCAGCAAAAATAACGAGGAGTCCTTGTGTTCTAGCCCACGAAAGTTTATGCCCAAATAAATTTGTTAGTCTCTAAGGTGCCACAAGGATTCCTCATTGTTTATGCCATACACTGTAGATTTTTTGTTTTGTTTTGTTTTAAGACAATGGAGTGTAGTAAAATTCTGTGTGGATCTTTTGTATGAATTGTCCGTGTGGAAAAGAGTGGCTTTCACTTGTTAAAAATGTCTGCAAATGCTGCTGCTGCTTTTTCTGTCGGTCTTTCTTGGCATTGGGGTAATTAAAAAATTAGTTTTAAAATTCTCCATAGACTTAATCCTCAATAGTGGACAAGAGCCATTGACGTGTTGTGCTGAATAGGGAGGAATTTTTGCAAGTACTTAAGTGCTTTTTTGGATCAGGGCCTAAGTGCTAAGGGTTCTGAGACCTGAGTGGTGTTCCTGGCTCTGCTTCTGTCTTGCTATGTGACCGTGGGCAGTTACTTTACCTCTCTGTGCCTCAGATCCCCGTCTGTAAAATGGGGTGGGGTGTAAATGATGCTTATCACAAAGTGCATTTAGATCTATGGATGGAAAATGCTATATGAGCGCTAAGGATAGTATTGTACATTGGGCCGTTGTAAAACAGATTTGAGAATACTCCAGGGTTCTCGTCTGTTGGTGGGGCTTTGAAGTATTAATGGAGGTGATACTCTCTCTCCTCTTCCCGTGGGGTGGAAGTGGTGCAAAATTCCAGTGGTGACGGTGACAAACTTTTTAAATCTGGAATATGTATGTATACATACTATATAATTCTGAAGGGAAGCTTTTGTTGGATTGAGTAAAAGTCCATGTTGTTAAATGTTACTCCTGCTTTCACTGCCAGGTACATCTTTGGGGAAGATGGAAGAGAAAGCACACACACATTATACACCATCTGTCATTCCCCTTGCCTCTTAAGTAGTCGTGAATATTCTGAATACAAAAGACAATCTAAATGCTGTTAAAGTACAGTATGGCTAAATGGAGCTGTGCAGGAGGGCAGAACTTTATTTGCTGTGGGGAACTATAACCACATGAACAGCTTGACTCTTCATAATTTAAACACAACCATAGTGATGCATTAATAGATTTTTTTGCTACCGTTTACTTGGTTTTAAAGAAAAAAACCAAAACCATATATTTAAATTGAAATACATACTTCATGGACTACGTGCGCTTGCCAGCGTTACCCTATGAAATTATGGTATAAACATACCGTGGGCCCAATCCTGTATGCCTAACTAAACCAAAAGCCCCATTGACTTGCACAGGAGTTTTGCCTATGCTAGGAGTGAGGAATCAGTCCCTGTATGTAATTAACAGAACATCTAATCACTCAAATACATCTGTGTATGGAATGCCAGATATTTATAG